CACCATCCTCATTCTCATACTCCTCATCCTCATCATACTCATCATTCTTCTTCTTCTTCTCATCATCATCATCGCCCTCCACATCCTCCCCATCAATATCATCCTCCTACTCATCCTCATCCTCACCCTTATCCTCCTCATAATCCTCCTCCTACTCCTACTTCTCATCTTCATCATCATCATCATCATCATCCTCTCATTCTCATCATCATCATCATCATCATCCTCCTCCTCATCATCATCATCATCCTCATCCTCCTCCTCCTCATCATCATCATCATCCTCATACTCCTCATCCTCATCATACTCATCCTTCTTCTACTTCTTCTTCTTCTTCTTCTTCTTCTTCTTCTTTCATCTTCTTCTTCTTCTTCTTCTTCTTCTTCTTCTTCTTCGTGCTCTGTCCCTGCAAGTCGTATGCGATGGCAGCTCTTCAAATGTCTTTTGCAGCTCAAATAAATTTTGTATTTTTCTTGTCTACCCTAAACCTTCTTCCATTTACTCGAACTCGCAACAATTCTTTATCGCATAACTGTTTTACAAGACTTAATTTATTAATTACTAAAATCATCATATTAAAATCAGATCCTCTTTATAAGGGAAAACTAGTTTAAAAATGCACGTTCCCATATAGAGACACTATCTTTGAAATTACCACCAAAAAATGAAAAGCTAAATTTTTGACAAACATAGATGATATGGGAAGCAATACACCGGTAGAGAGTTCCACAGGCGAGAAAAGAACCTATTAGCATAGAACTTACGGTTGTATCTAGATATTTCAACATTAAAATGATGAAACGTATCGAGTCGAGGGACTGAGGTGCAAATTTCACCAAAATAATTGCCATGAAAATAATTATAAGAAGACAAAAGAAACTTCTGTTACATAGGTGGAAAGTGACTGAAGCCGAGATGCCAGGTCAGGATCGATAAAATTGTAGACGTCTGTCAAGAATATCGGGATATATATAGTGAAAGACATAATCATGTACCTCGAAAAAGAGTTCATGTTTTGTGTAGGATCTGCCGAAAGAAAATTCCAAAATATAGTTAGCAAAAATCTGCTACTTTCCCACCACCTTGAATGGCGTGGCCAATCAGAAAAATCTCTCAGTGAATAAAAAGCCGTTGTTTTTCGCTTACGGGGGCAGGGTTGATACTTACCTGGCACAGGGATCCGTCCCTGCGCTCGTGGTATCTTAGCTACGACTATCTCGGACCGGCTCTGACCAGTTATGACAAACCAAAACCAGCTATGACTAGCTTAGACCAGCTCTAACCAGTTTGGACAAGCTATGACCAGCTAAGACCAGCTTGGACCAGCTGCCCGAGTGAAAAGACTCGGTCTCCCTACGTTAAAAACTGACGTTGTATCACAACCTGACTCAGTGGCAGGTCAAGTAAGTCTCTACGGGGGCAATGTTAAGCGGACGAACTCACGTTTTTGCTGGTGAGAATTGAAGGTTGGATTTGTGACCCCATTTTGTCGTTTCTACGTTGCCTGTTGGACTGCTACAATGGACTATCGTTTGAACTGTGATTTGGCGACAAGCGTTGCGGTCGACAGACAGAAGAAACCTATTGCAGGTGCTTATTGCTACTATAAGTTTACAGGTTTGTTTTTCTTTTATTTATTATAAAATCCAGACCATAGGTGGCAGCAATATTCAATCTTTCTTGCCAGAATTAATTCCATGTATGATTGAATTGATTCAGGCGAGAGAAATTCTCTGACACGATACTTTAAACCAGGCTTCTTAGTAGCAGACATAGCAGTTGATTCAAAATTCACTTAAGAACCATGTATTTTGTCTTCTTGCAATTGAGGTTTCGTCCTTCCTTCCCGCTTTCCTCCTCTACCTTCTGTAGGAGTTCTTGCAGTCTTCTTTTATGTCTGCTAGAGTCTTTCTTTTGTTGTTAAAATTTTGGCCAACAGTAATGAATCTTCAGTATCTGTCTATATATCTGAGATAAGGTTTTATGTACACTATTTACATTATTCGGACTATTGTCCTGATTTTGTCGCCATATTTATCACAACTTTTTGGTTGTTGTACGCTCCGGCCTTCTTCAGCTGGTTGTAATGTCGAATAATGTAATAATGACGTCACGAGCTGCGATGCGATTTTCACTTCCGCGTCTCGTATACACGATTTTGTCGTTGCTTTGAAATTTTTCATGCAACAAAAACAGACTATCATTATTGTTTCGTCCGTATATTATTTGATATATTGAAATGTAATTGTCATCTTTGAAAATGGCTTATGTAAATGTAGATTGGATTTAAACATTATCAATATGGTTATTTCCTTTTGTCTTTCAATGAAAATGTTATTAAGCTTATCAGACAATATGAAAGGAACTTACTTAAAATAAATAGACATAACTTGTCTATATTATTTTTATGAAACATGCATCAATGAAAAATTGCTGCATAAATATACATATATATATATATATATAGACAAAATTATATATATATATATATATATAGACAAAATATATATATATATATATATATATGTATAGACAAAAATTTATATATATATATATAGAGAGAAAGACAAAAATATATATATATATATATATATATATATATATATATATATATATATATATATATAAATTTTGTTTGCCTATATTTCTGAGATGAGGTTTTATGTACACTATTTACATCATTCGAACTGTTGTCCTCATCTCTGTTGGCATATTTATTAAAACTTCTTCAGGTGGCAGGAATGTCGAATTGAACCCTTTATTTCGCTCACTGGGGTAGGCTGTTCTAGTTCCACGTTTAATGGATGTCAGTTATCTTCTGTTAATTCCCCTCTCTAAGTTCTCCACTGCCGGGTATTAACTCGCACTCTTTGGGTCCTGTCACTGAATCTAACAAACGCTTTTATCCACTGTACCATGTGTACTTGAGGATATATGTGTATGAATTTCTGGGTATTATAAACCTAATGTCATCAGAATCATTTTTTACCAGTGCTCATATTGCGATTTTTGCTGTTATCATTATATGTATTTACTAGAGCTCATATTGCAATGTTTTGTTGTTATTATGGCTTTTCTCTCGCACACCTTATTACTGGTTAACTATGCGCACTATAAAGAAATGTAAACATGGTGGCAAAGTGTTATGGTCCGGTTCATTGTACCACGGTGATAGTCCAAGGTAGAACCAATAAAGAAGAACTCGAACACTGGTATGGAATAACACAGATATATTACAAACAGGAATATATACAAAGAAGTAGAAGTGTTAGTACGAACGATCAGGTTTAGTAGAGAGAAAAACGTAGTCTCGACCAGTATCACTATTCCAATGTCTTGCAGTAATTGTCTGAACGCGACTCTGTTTCGGACTGCCTCTGACTCGACTTTAACTACTGACTCAACTTGAACTACTGCCGATATTCAGTCTCCGCCCCCCGACTGGGGCAATATGTGACACAAGGTCGGTTATTTATTGTGGGTTCTCCGAGCCCGTGGGCTCGGCCCAAAAATATGCCCATTGAACCCGTATAAACGGGCTCAGGGCCGGTTTACTTCCCCGAACGGGACTCCGCCCCTCGGCGTAGCCTTGTTCAGGTTCCTCTCCGCCCGAAGGCAGAGAGTTCAACCTAACAGTCGCTCAGGACTTGAACTACTGCCTCCTTGCCTACTCCTGAGGCGCAGTATTTATTAAGTATGGAATAGTCCATTATTATTATTATTATTATTATGGGTAAGATCCCATAACACAAAGAGGAGTATAATAGTCCGAATAATGTAAATAATAATGACTCTTGTTAGGAATTCTAATTTTTTTCAAGAACAGGGTTGAAACAATGGGGATTATACGGAAGAATGCTGATACAACATTGGACCGGGCATTTGAGTAACATTACGAGGAAAGAGGACTTGGAAAGTCTGATACACACAGGACAGGTTGAAGGCAAGAGGGACAAAGGAAAGCAAGGAATAAACCACTTAGCCGACATAGAGTTAGAAAAATAACAAATTGACAAAATTTATTAAGACCTACAAAGAACAGGAAATTGTGAAGGACTATGATCGCCAACTTCCTGAATGCACACAGCATATAGGCAAAAAAGAACAAGAAAAAAAAAAATAATAATAATAATAATAATAAGAAGAAGAAGAATTTTATTAATTTATTGCAGTTCAATTCCCCTCTTATTTTATTTAATTCATTCTTATTGGTTAGCTATTTAAGGTTTATCAACGATATTACATTTTTATATTGTAAGGATGTTCCTTTTTTTTAGATAATAATGGCTTTAGTTGCATAATTCATATTAATTAATAGAAATAAATGAAATTTCTATGGTACATTATAAGGAAAGAGAACTTGGAAAGTTTGATAGTCACAGGACAGTTTGAAGGCAAGAGGGACAAAGGAAAGAAAAGTATAACCTACATAGAGAGCTTGAGTTAATGGATGGCGGACATGATGTTGAAGGGATGAGAAAAAGGCAATTTTTTTTAAGAGAAAGAAATTGTGAAGGACTATGATCGCCAACGTCCTGAATGCACATAGAAGAAGAAGAAGAAGAAGAAGAACAATTTTATTAATTTTTTGCAGTGCAATTCCCTTCTCATTTTATTTAATTTCTTTTTATTGGTTAGCTCTTTAAGGTTTATCAACGTTTTCTGAGAATAGATTTTTAGATTGTATGAATGTCATCTTTTTTTAGATACATCTAGTTTTATTGATATAATTCATATTAATTAATAGAAATAAATAAAATATCTAGGGTACATTATGTGGAATGAGGACTTGGAAAGTTTGATACTCACGGTACAGGTTGAAGGCAAGAGGGACAAAGGAAAGCAAAACATAACCCACTTAGCGAGGTTGAGTAAATGGATGGCGGACACGGTGTTGGAGAGATAACAAATTGATAAATTTTATAAAGAGAAAGAAAGAAAGAAAGAAAGAAAGAAAGAACAGGAAATTATGAAGAACTATGATCGCCAACGTCCTGAAGTCACACAGCATATAGAAGAAGAAGAAGAAGAAGAAAAAGAAAAGCCGAAGAAGAAAAAGAAAAGAAAAGTAAAAGAAGAAAAGAAGAAGAAGAAAGAAGAAGAAGAAGAAACCAAGAAGAAAAAAAGAAAAGAAGAAGAAAAGAAGAAGAAGAAGAAGGAAAAGAAGAAAAGAAAAGCCGAAGAAGAAAAGAAAAGAAAAGTAAAAGAAGAAAAAGAAGAAGAAGAAAAAGAAGAAGAAGAAGAAAACCAAGAAGAAAAAAAGAAAAAGAAGAAGAAAAAGAAGAAGAAGAAGAAGGAAAAGAAGAAAAAGAAAAGCCGAAGAAGAAAAAGAAAAGAAAAAGTAAAAGAAGAAAAAGAAGAAGAAGAAAAAGAAGAAGAAGAAGAAAACCAAGAAGAAAAAAAGAAAAAGAAGAAGAAAAAGAAGAAGAAGAAGAAGGAAAAGAAGAAAAAGAAAAGCCGAAGAAGAAAAAGAAAAGAAAAGTAAAAGAAGAAAAGAAGAAGAAAAAAAGAAGAAGAAGAAAACCAAGAAGAAAAAAAAGAAAAGAAGAAAAAGAAGAAGAAGAAGAAGGAAAAGAAGAAAAGAAAAGCCGAAGAAGAAAAAGAAAAGAAAAAGTAAAAGAAGAAAAAGAAGAAGAAGAAAAAGAAGAAGAAGAAGAAAACCAAGAAGAAAAAAAGAAAAAGAAGAAGAAAAAGAAGAAGAAGAAGAAGGAAAAGAAGAAGAAGAAGAAAAGAAGAATTTTTATTAATTCATTGCAGTGCAATTCCCCTTTCATTTTATTTAATTCCTTCTTATTTTTTAGTTTGTTACTATTTATCAACGTTTTGCCAGAATACATTTTTGATTGTAATAATTTTAAGATAATAATGGTTTTTGTGATACAATTCATATAATTTAACCTATAGCTGGGTGTCGAAGAGTTGGATCCATATCTTTCCCAAGGATAATTGCAAGTAAGTGACTGTAACTAACCCGACTGGAATTGGAACTCGTCTCTCCTGCTTCCAATTCTGATGGCTATCCATCACATCACCCGCACATCGTTATGTGTATGACGATAAACACCAAGGCACCTGATTGGTGATTACAATGAACGGCTGTAGGCTGAATGCTTTGAACATCTAAAGTTCATTTCAGACCTTGGAAATGGAATTTGTACATAAAACGATGCCAAAACTGCTAAGGAATTGCCCGGTTAATTCTAATGCTCCAAGAAGTTCTTCCACAATATTCTCCACAAGACCGTCCTGGATAGGACAATTAACTACATCCGACAGCAAGGCCTCTGGTTGGGTGGGTTTAATGAGCGTGTAACCACCTTTTAATTGTTGTTGTTGCTAGATCCACTCTGACCTGGAATGGTCGCATCTGTTAGGGTCCCAAATAGAGGCAAACAGTAAACCCCCAAGCTGGGGTCAAAACATTATGCAAGTACCGGTGGTAACAGCAAAAGTGTCCAAATGGTGTAACAGCAGAATTGTTCATCCCTCAAAATGATTAATATCTAAAAAAAAAAATAACACTAAACTAATTAAGTTATTTTTTTCAGGTTTTCTAAGACATCTAGCCATCTTGAGGGAATTTGTTGTAAGAATCACTGAAAAACACCGAGTTATTCAGCCACAAATAGAACAGGTTAACATCGTTTTGTTTCAGCTCCACTATGTCTTCCCAAATGAGCAATGCTGAGAGGAAAAAAAGATCGTTTAGGCCTTCGGTAATGGTACCAATATTCATACTCTGGCTTCCATCTTTAAAGTCCATTCAAGTACCATCAAGAGAACGGTGAATAAGTTTAAAAAAGAGGGAACAGTAGAGAGGAAAACTGGATGAGGAGGTCACAACAGGAAGAGGGATCATTATTTCAATTTAGAGCTAAATGCATTCTTATTAGAATAGAGTCCAATAGTGTTATAAAAACCTCGGAGAATTTCAGTAAACTAAAGTGCTCAATATCAGAGATAGAGCGTATGTAAATATAAATATAAACGTGAACATTGAAGTAAACACTCAGAGGCGACAGGCTGTTTCATGCTGGACGCAATCGTCAGGCGGCGCCCAGCATGAAACAGCCTGTCGCCTCCGAGTGTTGACTTCAATGTGCACTTTTATATATATATATATATATATATATATATATAGTCGACTCTCCCGTCGAATTCGACGTACGAGGGTCAAGCAGATCAGTTCCTAGGAAACCGGCAGCCCGACTCCAGCACATGAGATTAGATTATAGTGACGAAAACTGGATCAGGATTTCACAACAGCAAGAGGGATCATCATTGGTAATCGTACGGGAAACGGTGTTTCAATGCCATATGGCCGTAAGTCACGGCACCCACACATCCAAGCTTAGATCACTTGGTATTTACAAGCGGTCACCCATCGAGAGACAGACTAGGCTCGAGATTGCTTAACTTTGGTGATCATAATGGAACCGGTGTTTCAACGTGATATGGGCGTAAGCAATGGCACATCAAAGCTTACAGGAACTGGTATTCCTAAGCAGTCACCCACCTAGGTAATAACTGGGCTCGACGTTGCTTAACTTTGGTGATCATACGAGAGCTGATGTTTCAGCGTGTTATGGCCGTAAGCCATTCCAAACACACATCCAAGCTTACATCACATCGTATTCCTAAGCGGTCACCCATTCTGATATTCACAAGTGGTCACCCATCGTAGGATTGACCAGGTTCGAGTTTGCTTAACTTTGGTTATCATACGGGAACCGAAGTTTCAACGTGATATGGCTGTAAGCCATTCCACCCACACATCGAAGCTTACAGCACATCGTATTCCCAAGCGGTCACCCATCCTTGTACTCCCATGCGGTCACCCACCAGGGGACTGACTAGGCTCGAGGTTGCTTAACTTTGGGAAACCGTTGTTTTAACGTGATGTGTACGAAAGCCATGACACTCATACATCCAAGCTCACAATACCTGGTATTCCCAAGCAGTCACCCATCTAGATACTGACCAGGCTCGAGGTTGCTTAACTTTGGGGAACCGTTGTTTCAACGTGCTATATAGGTAAGCCATGACACTAACACATCCAAGCTTACAGAACCTGGTATTCCTAAGCAGTCACCCATCGTGGGACTGACCAGGCTCGAGGTTGCTTAACTTTGGTGATTATACGGGAACCGGTATTTCAACGTGACATAGCTCTAAGCGCAATTTCGTATTCCAAGACGATGCCGGTAAGTGTAGAGGGCAAAAATAAAGTCACCTGCGACAAAATTCAAAGAAACACGAGACAAAGAAAGATTTACGAAATTTGGGTCACTTAAGATTATTTCAACTTTTTTCTACCATAAAGAATAAAAAAGCAAAATATTTAAGATGAAAGATTAGATAAAAATGAATAATACTAGTAAGTGTCAAAAAGCCAAATAAATAACATGAGAGTAAGATTAAACCCCAATTAATAATGATAGCAATGTTTTGTATAACCCTTCAAAACGACCACAGCTCTCCACAATTTCCTGTCCTTTGTAGCTCTCCCTAATTTTTTTCTTCTTGCTATTTTTCCTATTCTCTGTTCTGCTAGCCATTTAAACAAACTCTCTACGTAGGTTAATGCTGTTTTTTCTTCTTTCCCTCTTATTTTCATTATGTACTGTGAGTGTCAAATTTTCCGAGCCTTCTTTCCTCATTATGTGACCTAGTAATTTCATCTGCCTCTGTCTGGCGTTAGAAATAAATATCCGTTTGTTTCCATTCTCTCAAAAACTTCATCGTTACTCCCATATTAACTGCATGGTATTCTCAGCATCTTTCTGTAGAACCAAATTTCTGTTGCTTCAAGTCTCTTCTTCAACCTTCACTGCCATATAGGAGGATTGATATTACGTAACAGTTTTAGCACTCTTTGTTTCTAACGAATTTTCCTATTTCTTAATACTTTGCTTAGCTTTTGAAAGGCGTTTATCAGTACAGTGAACGCTAATGGTACGATGTAAGCCAGAACTACCTGCCACCTGGTCGGTTCCACGACCAGACATTTTCGATGTAGGAGGAGTGGGTAGACCCCCCCCCTCCGCAGCCTCATTACAAACAAGACCTGTGAAATGGCGCATGAACATTCTTATCGGCTCAACAGTCATCTAACACAATAGAATAGATTGGCCACCATAGCTATATATATATATAGCCAGTGCAGTGATAACATGACATCGCTAAGTGGAGTGCTTCCTAAACTGAAGTCAGCGGCCACGACGGACAGTTTCCCCGATTGAATCAATGGCCTCCCACCTTTTACCGAAGCAAGCCTACAAATTTTCCAAATTGGAGGCTTGCTTTGGTCATCAGCTTTTGGAGAATGATTGCCTCCGTCCGGTCTACTTGCCCAAGACACGCGACGCAAGAATCTCTTTAGCTTTTAACGAAAATATATGGAAGGAACTGAAAACAATAAAACGATATCTTTAGCAGATGAGTAGACGATCCGTTTTTCAAATAGTATATATTTCGCCTGTGGGCCTCCATACTTGATAAAAGTTTATAAAGATCTGTCTTTACTGCTTTATAGTAATTTTATTTACTCAACCCCCCACGAGATCAGGTTGTGACACAAGGTCGGTTTAATGTGGGGAGCCCGAACTCATACACTCGGGCGAGGAACAAAAATTGCCTGCAGCCTCTGCACAGATCCTCTCTCTCTCTCTCTCTCTCTCTCTCTCTCTCTCTCTCGTGCAATGAGAGGTCGCGGCAGCTGTTCTCCAGGGGCGGTACCTCTCAGTATAATTTTCCTCAGTTGCGACTTTGTCCTTTGACGGGGTAATTCATGCACGGTATTTATTCTGACCCCACCCACCCCCACTAGGACGAGATGTGACAGAAGGTCTGTTTTTAGGTAGGGACCCGAGCACGTACGCCCGGGACAGGAACAAAAATTCCCCGTCGGTTGCAGTGACCTCGATGTACAGATCTCTCTCTCTCTCACTCTGCTGCAATGGGAGGGAGCGGCCTCAGACAGCTGTTCTCAAGGGCCGGTACCACTCAATATAATTTTCCTCAGTTTCAACTTTGTCCTTTGACGGAGTCGTCCCTGCGTGCACTCTGCCCAAAGACGCAACTGAGAGATGATAAAAAAATGTTTTACAAACTACATTAGAGTAAGTATTTACTCAACCCCAGGCACACACGAGGCCAGCTTGTGACACATTTCGGTATAATTTGGGGAGCCCGTTCGCGTACACCCGGGCTAGGAACAAACATTTTCGAGACCCCGTAACCGCTGGTTGCGCTGTCCACGGTGCGTGCACCGATCTCTCTCTCTAGTGTAATGAGAGGGCGCGGCCTCTGGCGACTTTCCCCAGGGCCGGTACCTCTCAGGATATATGTGGACTCTGTCTTTGATGGAGTAGTTTATACACGGTATTTACTCTATCCCCACCCTTTAGGACGAGATGTGACACGTTCTATTTTTAGGTGGGGATACGAGCGCATCCGCCCGGAACAGAAATAAAAATTTTCCTCAGCCACCACAACCGTCGGTTGCACTAACCCCCCTCTCTCAGGTAATGAGTGGGCGCGACCTCTGGCAACTGTTCCCCAGGACCGGTACCTCTCAGCATAATTTTCCTCAGTTGCGACTCTGTCTTTGACGGAGTAATCCATACACGGTAGTTACTCTGAAACTAATAGAAAGAGATGTGACACAAGGTCTATATTTAGGTGGAGACCCGAGCGCGTACACCCGGGACAGTAATACAAAAATTCGGTTGCGCTGGCCTCGGAGCGAGCACCGATCCCTCCTTCTAGTGCAATGGGAGGGCGCGGCCTCGGGCAGCTGTTCCCCAGGCTGGACACCTCTTCAGTATAATTTTCCTCAGTTGCCCCTCTGTCCTTTGACAGAGAAGCCCCTGAGCGCACTCTGTCCAAGGACAGAGACGCAACTGAAAGATAAGTAGATGTGTAACTACTCAAAAAGAGTAAAGTGCACACTGAGTAATCCATACTCTGAATGCTGAATATCTGTATGATATATTATCTACCTCTAGGTGATATATCTCCTCAGGTTTTACTAATTTGCATATTGATTTTTTTTTAAATAAATTTATTTCATTAATTTAGCTGTCGTTCAATAGTGTTCTTTTATTCGAGAATTGTTTTGATTTTCATATCAAAAATAGTTCTGTTTAGCAATATCGTCTTATATAGTGCAGAAAAGTATTTGAAATTTGCATTTTACTTGGCCTTCAACAAGTTGGCATCTATTTGTAAAACATTCCTTAACTGTAACAAACGAATTTATGAATGAAATGTTCATTTAAAATTTTTGGTTCAAATATTTTAAGTAGTGAAAATATTTTATTTTGCGAAGCGATAGCGAGTGGGCGAAGCCTGCTAGTTTTATATATTTACCAAAATTACACAAAAATATCTTGAAATACTAAATGGTAAATTTATTCAGCAAAATCGCCATTGGCTTCAAACATGGTCTCCAGACGACTTCGGAATCACAAACAACTCTTCTGAACGGTTTACTAAATGCTGCTATAATCCATGCCTTCAGTTCATCTTTGGTATTACTTGGGAGTTAGGTGGCCACTTGTAAGGGGTGATGTGGTCGCAGAAATTTTCTGACAGTCATGACTGGGTTCTCCTGCTTGTGCAGCATGGTCCAGAGTCCTGTTGCCAGACATAGAGTTTTCCAAGAGCCGCACTCGTGACCCAGGACAGAACTACCTCCACTAGGTCTCCGTTTTGAGTCTGAGGCCTATGAAGGGATGAATGGGGCCATAACCTCACCATTACGGCACCCTCGTAAACACCCTTAGATCCATCCAATTCATTCTGAATCCTGTTTACTGTCCTCAGAATTCTGAAATGTTCGTATTGGAGCTTGATACTCTTTTTCTTGTAGACGTTGCCCAAATAATCATACTACACTGTGCAGTTAAAAATCAAAAACAACGCTCAAGTGCGAAATTAAAATATAAAATGACGAAAATTTACACATCGCACCTAATGTGTATGGGTATATATATATATATATATATATATATATTTATATATATATATATATATATATATATATATATATATATATATGTATGTTTTGTTGAATCCAGTAGACAAATTGTGTTTACTAATATTTTTATCGACGCTTTTAAATTTTCTAATTCGTTCCGTGATATTAAGGTTAAAATCTCTCAAGGAAGGCGCCATATCTTTTTAACTTAAGTACTTTTGTCCTTTTCTAAGATCATCTTCAGGTCTTAGAAAAGAGACAAATCTTAGAAAAAAAAAAAAAAAACTACAAAAATAAAAGAAACAAAATGTCTATAAAATTTGACAAAACATGTTTAAATAAAAATATGCTCCCTAAATGTACATATATATATATATATATATATATATATATATATATATATATATATATATATATATTTGTGTGTGTGTATGCGTGTATGCGTGTGTGTGTATGAAAGAGCTTAATTAAAACTTAACTCTCGCAATGTCATGTGACGACAAAACCAGAAAGAACATTTGAGTGCGTCTCCCCTGTCAAGTGCTTAAGGATCTAGTCTAGTAGACCTTTATTAATGTATAGCAGACATCGAAGGCAAGTGAAGCAGAGAAATATAGTGTAAACAACTCGACAATGGATGGTGATAACGATCTTGTAGTCCTTATAAATAAACAGCTTGGATCAGAAATAATGTATAATCTCGTATAAATTAATCTCGGAAGCCTGTCTTTCTCTGAGAACGCCTTACCAACTAGGGTACGAACATGTCATAAAACCTTGTAAACAGTTAATATTAAGATGCAATGCCTCATTAAAATATAATGAGGTGTCAAAAAACTTCAGGCCTACATAAGCTCAAATAGAAATTACATGTAACATGTTTATTTACAAAAGCAAAATGTAGAAGAAAATATAAATTCAGACTAAAGACTACACTGAACTTGGTTTCTTTCTTTCTTTCTTTCTTTGTTTCTTTCTATCTATCTATCTATCTATCTATCCCAGTCTGTTCATTATCTATCTATCTATCTATCTATCTATCTATCTATCTATCTATCTATCTATCTAAGTCTGTTCATATCTATCTATCTAAGTCTGTTCATTATCTATCTATCTATCTATCTATCTATCTATCTATCTATCTATCTATCTATCTAGTCTCAGTCTATCTATCTATC